TGTTCTTGCTACAAATGTTTCTGTACAAATATTAAATTTTATGGTTTTTTTTTGTATTCTGGATAAACGTTTGAGACTATAGTAAAAACCCTACATAGGCACTGAAATTGCAGTTTACTCCAATTACCTCTTCTTTTTATTTATATACAATATTTCGATGGTGCAATGATACTATTCTGCACTGACCTATGACACTGACATACTGACTTACTTCCAATGACTTCGGCTAACTACTAATAATAATAATAACGCTCAAGCAACAAAGGATCAACCATTCTAGGCTGGCTGTAACATAAACATCGTCAGTTACACTTAATCTAATCTAACAAATAACAAACAATACACGAGTATGCTTGTGATCAGCAGCTGATCCAATGCGGCGTTGCAATTCGTATTTTCCTAATATAAATGATTTGAAACCGTGATCACCATTTTGCACCACAGTATACAGTGGGTATAAACTGATGGGATTTTTTTTAAAGAAATAAAGTGTCGCGGAATGATTACCGTGGACTATAGCTGTAGCTCTATGTGATCTAACCATTAGAACATTCACTTGTTCAATGATATAGGAATCTTTCATAAGATAACTAAGCTATTGGACGTAGACAAAAAATTTGCATCCACTCTACTCACCAAGCCGTTACTCGAGAGGTATTACGACTCATATATATACATATTCGCGGATTTTTAGAAGCGTGTTGTTTATTCGTAGACATAGAATCTGATTCAGTAAAATCTAACTCGCGTATAATTCTACCCTCCAATAGTCAATTTGTGGATTCTCCGGGGAAAGGGAGGGTAAAGCATTGTAATAATGGATTAAAGCCAAAGGTACGCCAGAGTTAGCTGTGTTTACCCTGGAAAATTTTGAGTTTGCAGTAGTAACTGGTCCGAGCTTGCTAAGAATTTTGAAATTGTTGCATATATAATCTCTGCGTTGTACGCAACGCTAGTGAAACCGCGTCTAAAAAATACTAAGTAGCACTTTATAAGAGTAAATAAGAATATGCAATATCTACTACTGGCAAAATTAACGAAAATATTGCGAGGGTAGATATTTATATAGAAATTAGAACAAATTTCGCTTTTAGTCTGCCTTGAATGTTTTTATAATAGTCTGGCCACGACCGTGATTGTAGTGTTTCTTCGGCAAAGAAATTAATGAGAAGAGAATAATGAATTATTAAAGCGACAACGAAGAACTAATGAATTATTGGTTTTTTTATTGAGTATGTCGAAACAAAAGAGGGTGAAGAATTTTGACGAGGATGAAACCATAATTCAAAGACTTACAAGATTTTGCTTCAGAAACAAAGCAAGATTTATTATAAGGAATTTGGTACACTGATTCCAAATTTAAACTCATAATTTAACCATCACATCCATAGAATATCGAAAAGTTTTAAGGTTCGGTTTCCTTGTTAGAAAAATTTCCGATAAATAATCGTTGGTGGATGAATTCTCAATATGCAATCCTGTGTATGCAATAGCACAAACTTATACACGGAGAAAATGAAAAATGAAAATTTAGCTAAATATTAAAGCGATATTTACAATTTATNTACAGTGAGCTCAGAAGTCACTGAGAAATTAGTGGGTTTAAGGCTTTTTGGCTGATAAATCAGTGAAGTGTTTGTCGTAAAGCGTCGTGCACTTTATAAATGCATCTAACCTAGCATTGTGCTAGATTATAATTAAGAAACTTGAAATAATTTTTAAAGAAACATGTCAAAATTGAGATTATTACAAGTTACCTACTTTCTTAAATAGGATCAGTGAGAATTTCACTGATTTCTACAGTGAGCTCAGAAGTCAGTGAGAAATTAGTGGGTTTAAGGCTTTTTGGCTGATAAATCAGTGAAGTGTTTGTCGTAAAGCGTCGTACACTTTATAAATGCATCTAACCTAGCATTGTGCTAGATTCTTATTATATACATTAAAAATGAGTTTTATTTATTCGAAAATAAAAAATTCATTTTAAAAAGTTAAATTGTTGAAGTAGAGGAAAAAGATGTTCAAATCGCTTGAAAGTATGTAAAGAATATAAAAGTAGTCATTATTAATGAAAGTGAAGATTCCATTTTTAACCACAAGATGGCGCTTATGATTCATTTCGGAGTTCAAGATTAATCAAATATTTACGGAACATAAGGTAAAGAAAGGGGGGTTAGAGGGCAGGTTTCAAGGGGAACCTTTTTTAATACCCATTATCAACCTAACAAGCTTAAATAGCCGGCTTTACTGTGAAAGTCGCGCGAAGTGTATAAATTTCACTGATAAACCAGTGGATCGAAATGCCACTGTTTCACTCAGTGATTATTCTCTGATTACCAGTGGTATACTTTACACTATATCAATCAGTGAATAGTCACTGATTTTTTTTAAGAGAGTAATAAATTCTACTATTTCTACTGCAAATTCACTCATTTACAAGCGAAAATTGTAATTTTTGCGTTGTGAAAAAAATTTAGTTTCTTTGTGTATTTTCATCCGTGTAAAGAAACGCCTATTTTGATGCATTAGTGAATTAATTTTCTGAATTAACTTTACCCACCACAGATAACCTCATATTAATGAGAAAGATTGTTGCTTCTGTCTCTCTCTTGCCGGGAATCGAACCCAGGCCCCTGGTTTTACGCTCCAGTACTCTCTATTTTTTCCTCATTAATTTGAGATTATATGTATTGTGTAAAATTAATTCCCTAATACATTGAATTAACTTTACAAAAATTCTAAGTGTCTCAATCCTATTTTGACTTCTAAAAATGGAAATTAATAATGAAGAACTTTACAATACTATGATTAGCATTTGTTGGTAGAATTATCCGTTATCTGATCCGGGAAATACCTAAAAATAGCGGTATTAAATTGTTAGAATAGAATATTTCAATATCCTGACGTAATGTCGAAATTCTGAAGTCATATTTCAATTCATCGTACCAAATTCCTTAGAACAAACACCGTTCTGCTTCTGGAATATTAAAAACGCTTTTATTAGTTGAGAATAAACTCACACCGTAATTATTATTTTTCCTCCTCAAACTGTCTTGTTTTGAATAAAATAATTCGAAGTGGTCTGTATTCTGTCGAAACTGCCAGACGCGGATCGCTGATAAGATCCAAAAAGATCGTGCCTATCACGTTGAGTTTGGCTACGCCGGGATTCGTTTTCAGCAAGTAAATATCCACACAAGTGGACCTTGTTGGAGCATACGTAATCCTAAAATGTAGCATCGTTCTATAGATGGCGTTTACTGCGCCATTTGTAGTATTGTCTTGTTTTGCTTTATAAGTGTCCCGTTCATTATTTATTTCCCTCCAAAAACGTAATTAAACCATGTCTATTTGAAAACGACTACAATCTTTGACTTTTTAAAAAGTTAAAAACTGCTTCTTGTTAGGTATATCTAACTCATCTGTTGTAATGAACGAAATACGGGGGAGATATCATTCTAACAAAGTGTGCGTAATTTAATAAATTGTCAGCAAGAAAGTTATGAACGCCGTTGGGTTACGTCCACCATGAGCTAACAGTGAAATTCTTCGAAAAGTAATTTTAAAAAGTTGTAAAATATTGCGATTTTTATAAAGTTTCATATCCAGTAGCACCAACGAGCACTTTTAAATAAAAAGCATTTCACTAATTGTGAAGGTTGTAATAATAATAAGCCTAATATTGGGATCCGTCAAATGGGCTTACACCATCTGGTGGCAAAAATTATAACTCGAATGAGGGAAAAATTTACATAGGAACTGTGCACGCAAATTGTAAAATTGTTTATTAAAATAATAAAACACGTTAAAAAAGTAAAAATTTTTTTGATGATGGAGTCGACGAAGTTTTCTTCTAAAGTTAAATCAAATAAAAAGTTAATATGTTCAGTGAAAAGCTGCAATAGCACTTCAGACATAGATCTTCACTCTTCACCTACATTAACTACTTTCCAATAAAAACTAACCGTTTTATATATGTAAAAAATATATTCGGAAAATTAGAGAAAAAAGTAAACTAATAGAAGCTTGGATGAAAGCAGTAGGTATCAAAGAAGTGAATTCCGGAATAAAAATTTGTTCACGTCATTTTAATGCACATGATTATATTTCAGCAAGTATTTACCATCAGCCATAACCTTAATATTTAAAACTAGAATCATACTAAAATTATAAAGTGAGAAATTATTTATTCCTGTGTAATTGATTTAACACAATTCTAATGATACGATATAAGTATTTTGAGGTTAAGAACCTACCTGCTGCAATACAACAAAGTTGCAATAATGTGTTTGCAACGTTCTCTTAAATCGGCTTTGCACGTGCAAGTCATTGATATGATATTGCTTAAATCACCCAGAATCACCTCACCAATTATATAACGTGAATCACTTTTTAAATCCGAAGTTTGTAAAAAGTAGGCAGTAAACTTGACGGAATTTGAAGGCTAGCTTCCGGATTTGTTATTTCCGAATTTTATAATGTGATTGGCATTAAAAACACGCTCACCTTCAACGAAATTTCCTTTCCGAGGCTTTGTGTCAGCCCAATCACATATTGTGTCAATACTTATCATTTTATCGTAATTTAAAAACTTGGAAATTGCACGGTACACTATAGGAACTACGATAAATTTTCCCTAATCGGCGCCATGTTTTTAGGCTCCTCCCATTTGACGGATCCCAATACTCAACTGGAATTGATTTAAGCTTTTACGATTATCGTTGATGTAACTCGTAATTCACAAACTGTTTGGCAGTCTCTGATGAGATTTTTTATCCTCAACGTTTCGTTGACTCATGTTTACGAGATCTTCAGGAATTCCGTTTCCAAAGCTGGCCAGCGAGATTGTTGAGGACAGGAAGCGTTAATCAACAGCGACCAGCAAAAAGTCAGAGAATCACCAGTTACACCAAAGGAAATTATTGTTCATTTTAACAGTTATAAGTGCGCTTTAAAAATTCTGTCTTATAAAGTAAAAATAATACAGTCATAAAGGATCTTACCTCCAATGAGCATCGTGCAAATACTAAAAATTTTTTCGTTGGTTGTATTAGCACTCACGTTACCGAAACCTACGCTTGTTAAACTCGAGCAGGTGAAGTAGAGGGCTGTGACGTAGGAGTCTACGTGAGAAACATTTTCAATTGAAATCTTTAAGCGTTCAGCTAAAGTGTGGATCCAACCTGGAAAAAATAAAACCGAAATTATGAACTCTATAGATTCTTGCAAAATTAGATATCGAAAATGAGATGCATACTTTACTAATTCGTTTGTAACTTTTTCTCATCTTTATATATCTTGAGTCAATTATCATTATTATACTATTAGGATATTGTGTAGGTTCATTAAAAAGGAACTAAGACGCTAGTGAGATTTTTTTGTTAAAAGAGTGCAATTAAATATAAGGGTGCAATTTTAAGAACGGGGTGAGTATGGTATTTCAGCTATAACTCAAGAACTATGCAACATGAATGTATTTTTATTAGACGTTTTTCCATAAAATCAAATTCCTTTTCGAAATTTCTCAGTTATATGGTAATTTATTTTATGGGGGAGTAGTTATCTTACTTCACCTCTCCTGCCGCCTACCCTTCCCGTATTGCTATAAGGCCGCAGGATAAGTTAAGAATTTAGAAATAGCAAAATTGCATGGAATAACCTCAAGAATTTATCCTCTTTCAAGTTTTTATATTCTTTTTTCTAGAGGGGTGATTTTGTCACCACCACCCCTTCTCCCTCCCGTAGGCCCCATACTCGCTATCATACCGCACGTTTTAACCTTCTGTGACCGTCAAAACATCTGCATTTCGCGTTTGTACACGAAATGTGAATCAGAACTATTTTATTGACTATACAGTCAGGTGAACGTAATGTGATTAATCAGAAATGATGAAATATCCCAATTTTTGGTACATTTAGGGTTGCCTAAAATTAGTCAAATGCCGATTTCATTCATTTGAGTTTAGACTTTTGATAGTAGTTTCACCTAGGATTATCCTAATAGTAAAATTCGTTAGTCAAATATGGAAACACATAAGGGGTATCCATTAATTATGTGAGCTCTGTTTCGGTCATTTGAGACTCCTCCCCCCTTAGGTGTGATTTGCCAGAACCCCTCTCCCCTTACGTGAGATTGACGCTAAAAATATTTAAAACTTAATTTATTGTTATTATTCGGGAAAATAATAAATCGTTCGTCATATTACTCTCATACAACATAATATTAATAGCCATGAAATTTATTTTAGCGGTCAAAACGAACACTCAAAATATTTTGTTTTTAATATCTTTAATATTTTATATTTTTTGAAGTTGACGTGAGATTTTCGATTATCCCCCTCTCGGTTTAAATGAGATTTGGTGAGATTTCGTTGGACCCCTCCCCCCTATTCTGAGCTCACGTAATTAATGGATGCCCCCATAGTAGATATGTTAGACCTGAGTATTGTCTTGTTAAATCTGAGGTACACCTGAACTTTGGTATTTCACTATAACAGATGTACAAATAACTATGACTCACCCAAGTCCCAAGTATAATCGTTTTTTTCAATTTCCTTATCAGCTATGACGTACCATATACACGCCAACCAATGAGCAACGAGGGTGAAGGATAGCATAAGAAGAGTTAAAATCATTGCGCTATATTGGGAATATCTATCCATTTTTTGAAGCAGTCTCGCTAACCTCAGTAATCTAGTTAATTTAACTAAATGCGTGTGTGATGGACCCACTTTCTGAAAATAAAGTTAGAATTTTTAAGTACTTAGTATTTTAGGTCTGATCATCCGAAAATAACTAGGTGGTAAAAACAAAAGCAGAATCAATTTTACATTACTTTAATAGAACTAAATCTGTTCGAGGCGTTGAATCAAATTCGTAAATGGTAACATCAAAACTATGCCTTTTTTTCATTGCTCTTGTCTAAATTCTTTCATAAATTACTTTAGGGAAACTGTTTCTAAAATTGTTATAGAGCCCGTAAAGATAAGTAATTAAATTCACATTAAATAATGAAATAATAAAAATTAGTTGACAGTGAAAAACTAGCAGTGTTAGAAGCTGCTACTTACTGCTTTTACATAAGCTACTAATTTATTTTTCTTTCATTAATTTTTTAAACTTGTGAGGGTGAGTCACAACTGTTGGGATATACTACACATGTTATTTAGACCAAAATACGAAGATTGAACCAAACATGCCTTCATAAAATTAAAATAAAAAATGATACAGGTTGTTAATGGTGACATATTATTACCGTGTTTTGGTAATAATGCCACAAGATTTTCATAAATCCTTTGACACAATAGTATAACTTTAGGCAATAAATATTATTTAACTTACTAGTTTAAATTTTTTGCAGGAGGCGTCATATGAACGGTCCCGCAGGATGGAATTGGGTCATATTGTTTTTGACGAAATTTTTCAGTAATTTTAATTATGAAACATTATATATCATCATGTTTGTGTAAAATGGTAGTACTTGTTTCAACTNAATAATAAACGAATAGGTTAATAATTACTTCTATGCATTTTGCAATTATTTCGGTTAAGAACATTCTGACATTAAAAAAAGATATTATCCTGTACCCTAATATTTTTTCCCAGAGTTTATTTTCTGAAGGATTTCATTGATTTAACCTAAGGACTTCATTTGTCCCCAAAACTACAAATATATTGGATTGTAAACAGGATTTGATGGTGGTCATGGAGAGTTATTCTTCTGCCAATCCGCCTTTGAGTAAATGTTTGATTAATATGATTCCTAACACCTACTGGGTAATGAGGTCATGCTCTATTTTGCATAAACCACATTGCTCTTCCTGGATCGAGTGAGACATCATCCAAAACGTTATTAAAAGTACTTTGTGGGAAAAATTAACTATAATTCTCCATTTTAATTTGGAGGATGACCATAGAGTCCGAATAGTAGGTTGTCTATATGTCTATGTCTATGCTCAACTTCGTTTTTCTCGAAAACAATTAAAATTCTCAAATTGAAACAAGTATAACAATTTCACATAAGAATTATGTTTATATCATGTTTTATAATCGAAATCACTAAAACATTTTATCAAAAAAAGATGTCGCAATGTCATCCTCAGGGACCTCTCATATGGCGCCCCCTGTAAAAAATATAAAATAGTAGGTAGAATAATATTTCTTGCCTAAAGTTATTCCTCTGTGTCAATTCGTAAAGATTTATAAAAATCTTATAAAATCATTTCCAGAAAGAGAAAATTATATACCACTCTTAACATCCTGTGCCTTTTCTTAACATCCTGTGCTTTTTTCCGCAACAACATTGTAATAGCATATGTTTGGTGCAATCTTCATATTTTGGTTCACATCATCGAATTTGCTGTACGTCCCAATAGTTATGACACCCTGTACATGTGTAAAACATAGCTCATGACCTTTGTTAGAGGTACTATTATTACAGTCTTTTATCGACTTTTTGCTCGGTTTCGCACGAAGAATAAACTTTGTGGGCTCCATTATCAAAATTTCTTCATTTATTTAACGCGTTTTATTATGGTTCTAACAAACAATTTTATGATCTACGTGCACTATTTCCATGCAAAGTCCCTCATTCGAGTTACAAGTTTTGTCGTTAAGTTGTGTATTTTTATTTGATGCTAGTAAGTAGTTTTTCTTATATATATATGTAACTTCCATTAATGTTCTTGAAGTTTTGAAGTATCGACTTTGTAGAAAGAAAATTAAATTTTATCTAGTCAACCCAATGAACCTTTCTACCTTAACGAGTAAAATGAAAAAAGAAATGGAATTAGCAGCAATCTGAGAAGTAACTAAGTTATTACTACTTTTCCTCTCTCTTTCATTCTTGAGACATCTGGATCCACAAAATAAATACCCACGTCTTACAAAATTAGAACCAGTTATTGAACATTATTTCTGGTCAGCACACATGTTTGAAAATGTATCAATAGATTTTCTAAAGAAAGCTAGTAGGTATATTACCGAAAAAAACTCAGTGCGCACTAGTGATTTTTATAAATAAATAAGAACGGTTAATTTAGAAATTCGAAAAAGATTGTTAAAGGTGTATGTTTAGACCACGGCGCTGTACGGGTGCGAAAAATGGACAGTGGGCACGGCGGAAGAGAAAAGGTTAGAAGCGTTCGAAATGTGGTGTTACAGGCAAATGATGAGGATACCGTGGATAAAGAAGGTTAGAAATGAAGAGGTATTAGAAAGAATAGGAGAACAGAGGACTCTATGGAAGTCAATAAGAAATAGGATAGAGATAGGTTGGCCTCCTACTAACTTCTCAGGCATGAAGATCTAGTCAGAGACATATTAGAGGTAGAAACGGATGTTAGAAGGGGTAGAGGTAGACCTAGATTAGATTACTGTTTGCAAATAGTTAAGGATATGGGTTGTTCTAGTTTTAGAGAAATGCGAGTCTTAGTTCAAGATAGGAAAGAGTAGAGGTGCGTGTCCAACTAGTCTTAGAACTGACGACTTAATAATGATTACGATGATGTCACGTCACGACAGATTTCTTGTACTTATGCGCACACATAAGTGACAGTCACACAGTTCCGTCATTCAGCAAGATGGATGTCATTAGGAGTAAGAAAAGTTACAGTAGTAAAGAGCATTGAGTTCATCAATTGAAAATTTTACACAATGCAATAATACGATAACCAATAATCGCATTTTTATTTCGTCTATTAGTATGACATTGTCTACGTCATCTTCATGTAGAGATACGTTTTGCTTCGAATTTGACGTTAACTCCATTCTAGGGGCCACTTAAGTATTACGTAAGCGTCAAGTGGGAGTGGGGGGTATGTTTGCTTTACTTATTTTTGAGGAGAGATCTTGAGTGGTTGCGTTTGTAATATTTGTAGTCAAAAGGCAAATGAAACAATGAAAGTGCATTTTGTCATCAATTCACGTAACCAAGTGCGCGCACCTCAATAATGAACAATAGACTTCACCAAAGTGACAGAACAGTCACCGTGACAAAAATGGCGTAATCACCATTGAGATCCGCTGCCGTCTCCCATGTTATCATAAATAAGCAATGCAAAGGCCCCCATTTAGTGCTTCCGTAATACTTAAATGGCCCCTAAAAATGACGTTAACGTAAAATTACAATTTCATGATAGACATATCATATCTACTTTTAGATGAAATAGAAATGCGATTGTTGATCATTGTATCGTTGCAAACATTGCGTAAAACTTTCCATTTATCAATTTATCATTCCGCAGTCGATGAACCCAATGCTCTTTATTACTGTGCTTTTCCTTATTCCTAATCACAACTACACAGATATACAACTGATATCTAGAGATCCATGTTACCAAGAAACGAAACTGCGTGATTGTCGCTCTAAGTTCGCGCAGACAAGTAAATCCTTCGTGACGTAACAGTGACAAAAATCACTGTGTGCTAGCCCTAATAGTTCTTTTTCACATTAAAGAACGAAATAATTGTTAACCTATTAAGTGAAAAAGTTGTACCGGGTTACAAAACTTATCGAAGTAACGCCAAATCTATTCAGACCTTTAAATTTTATTTTTAAAACATGAGAAACTTAAAAAGATTCAATAAATAGGTTTATGAAGAACTTTGTAGTTGCTTCAGTAAATTTTTAGTGATAAATATGCACTCTTTGAAAATGGCCCGTTGGCCGAAACAATCTTAAAATTTAATTTAGAAAAATTACAATTTTTGTTACTTTTAAGAAATTCATTCAAAATAATTTTTTATCGCATTCATTATTTTCAATTATTATGGGATTACTCTGTTCTTTATAAAAAATGTGAAAGTAGCAAAAGTGATCCTTTTACTTTAACTTCGACACGCAGCGTCTTATTAAAGGGATAAAGTGTAGCAAATGGTTCCACTCGGTATCCATCTGAGAGATAATGGAGCTTTAGCCCTACAATATGGCAGGCATAATAGCTGATTTGATATCATAAAACAGTGGGTCAAGTAGAGAATGAAAATGAATTGATGCTTGTAAATAGCCTACTGCCAAAGAATATTATCGTTAACAGCACATATCATGTTTTTTTAAGTTCAACCTAACGATGATGAAATACTTTATTTTGTTCTTATATAAAATGAGCAGATTTTTTTTGTACCAGGGGTGTAATATAAATAATACGACGTAGGCTATCGTAAACAATTAACAGAAATGTTTAGAAGTCGAATGGATTGAAATTGGTTTAACTAAGTAGAACCTGTGAAATGTAGGGATGAGTCACAAAGATAGAAGTGATACTTAATTTGTATAAAGAGCAACAGGCAGTTATAGAGATGAGGTTGCAACTTAGAGAAACAAATTTTAGGAAGTGTCAGACATGGATGCACACTGTCACCGCTACTTTTTAATCTATACAATCGAAGACGCGATCAACATCATTAAAGACAGTACAACTGATAGATATGCAGGGGCAAAAGATTAGTATGCTTAGATTTGCAGATGATATAGCAGTATTAGCATCTAGCAAGGAGGTATAAGAAATACCTTTAAATAAAATGATAAAAAAGTACTGTATGAAAATAAAAAAAGTAAAACAAAAATACTGGTATGCAAGGAAAGAAAAAGGAGAGAAAAAGCGAACATAAAGATAAGAGACAAAAAATTAGAAGAAATCTTACATATCCTCTGTTTTACAAAACGTCAAAACGCAAACATATTACATTACAGTAAAGGAGAAAGTTGATATTGTTAAGCGATAATCCGAACAAT